AGCAAGAAGTCCAAGCCAGGGCAGAGAAAGGCAGGCAGCTGTGGGATCACAGCACTTGGCCTCCCACCTCACTCTCAGCCAGGCTTTTCCCTGATGGTGCAGAGGGGTGGGTGGTGGCAGCAATGGTGGCATTACCAAACCATCCATGAAAATCAGACTAGCCCCCAACCGTCTGATAGCAGAGGGCATTTGGTGCCATTTGGGGTCACTTCAGGAGACCTGGAGTGTGTGCAGTACTGCCATCACAACCCCCCTGAATCTCAGCACAGTCACCCTATTTTTGCAATCCAAATTAGCTCCCCCACAGCTGTGCCCTCCCTTCCCTTAAGGGAAGGCACGATTGCAGCAGCCATCGCTGCCAGCAAGCAACCTTTTTGCCTTCCCTCAGCACCATTCTGGATGCGTAGCCAGCCTGCCTGCCTGCAGGCCCCCTCCCAGAGGCTGGAATAACCCATGGTGTTGAAGCCTGGTTCACAAAGCATCCTGGTGTTAAGGTTAACTGGTTGTAAAACTGCAGTGGTTCATCACACGATGCACACTATGAGAAATGTTTATTAAATTGATTTTTGTTTCATTTCTTTTTTAAAAAAAAGGCAGAAAGAAGTTAAACACACTGCTTTGTGGCATGCTCCACAGTATGAAAAAATCCCAAGCATTCAGTTAAGCTGTCAGCAGCTCTGTTTGACTTTTTGATGCGGTCTTTCAATTCAGACCTGGACGGTTGACTTTCCTCTCCCCCACCAGTCTCTCTCCTCCTCCCTGCCTCAGCTCACAGCCATTTTCTCAGCTGTCACTAGGTCCAGGAGGATGCTTCCCTGGAGAGGGAAGGGTTTGCATTTACAGCCCACAATTTCATCCATAGTTTGTTTTTTAGGAACGTAGAGGGGAGCAGGATGAGGTCCCATGTTGCCCACACATGTATGCCGGTATGCAGGAGGGGGTCTGAGGCAGGGCAGGGGTCCTACCTAGTGTTTTTTTCCCCATCACCTCAGCCAGCTTTGGGACTGACCAACTGGCAGGAGAGCCCTGTCACTTTTGGATCCTGAGGTCTTCAAACAGGATGAGTCCCATCAGCCCTTCACAGCTCCCTCTTTAGCTTGTTTTAACTCAGGTCCAGCTTCACAGGAGGCCGAACTAGTGGAGACACAAGTGACTAGATTTTTTTCTCTGAGGGTTTCTGAGCTACTTCAGTTCTTGCATGATAACATGATAGGTCCTCTCTGTCCCTCTTCTCCCAGGGCTGACCCCTCCTGCTACAGCTGATGACCACTGAACATGGGGACTCTCTGCTAGTAACTCTAAGGAAAGCATTACCCTCTCCCTGCAAAACTCACGTGCCCCTTCCCACGACCTTCCCAGTCACTGGCTGTTCCCCTCGTTCAGCACCTTTCCTGCAGCAGCCACAGGGACAGGAGGCGGCCCAGGGAGCTGCCTCTAGAGCTCCCCTCAGTGACAAACCACCTCTGGAATGAGCCAGCGAGCAAAACCGAGTGTTAACCGAGTGTTCCAGGTGGAACACTGTCTGAGCTCACATCCTGCTCTTTTTCCTCCCATAGCTCTCAGACTCCCTCTCTCCAAGTACCGCCTTCTCCCTACTGCTCCTGCTTGGAACAACCCAGACTCCTGAAGCTACAATGTCCAAAGCTACACACCTAACCTGCATTGAGACCCAGTCTGTCTTCAAACAGAGCTCTGGCTACACACGCAGCATCAACTGAATACTGAACAATATCAAAAATACAGTATAAGGAAAGAAAACAAATTGAAATGCTTAATGGCATATTTATACACATTTATCAACAGTCAACAAAAAAGGCGGCAAGTTACACATCCATTCTGTATGCTAACAATCCCAATGCACATATATGTAAACACCCATGCTTGGTTGATGCATATACATATAGCCACAGAACAGAGTAGATGACCTGAAGGAGCTACGCTGGGGAACCGGGCAGGGGTTACCTACTGCAAAACTCGTCTCATTCTTGATGTGCACAGTGTGGACATTCAGGGCAGTGTTGCTTTAAGGCTATTTCTAAGGCTCAATCTTTTTATGTCCAACCCCTCAATCCTAAATTCTTTTGAAGCACTTCCTCCTCTTACCCAGCACAACTTGATAGATATATATATATTTTACCTATATACTTTTTAAAGGCCCTATATACTAAAAGGTAGGAAGAGGAAAGGGGAGAGTAGAAGGGGAGGGAAGCCTCCGAACAGATCAGTTTACCCCAGCACAGGAATTTCCTATCCTGTAGCGGCAAAGGCCACAGCAGCCATGTGCAGTGGTCAAGATACTAGATTAAAATAATCACAGGTCTCGCTCCCTATCCTGTCTAAAGCTCTTTGTTGCAATGAAGGGGGAGAGTGAAATACTTTCAGAAACAGAAATATTCCTGAAGTGGGGATGGTGATCACTGGTTTCAACTCCTCCCCTTACCTGCTTCAAGGTGGCAGAGAGCTGAGAGATACTGTAATTTCCAGCTCAAGTGCTTGTATGGCTAAGGAAAAGGCTTTGCTTAAAAATATATATCTATAGAACTATACATATAGATCATCTTTTAGAGACACTCTGATTTTATTACATAGCTCCTGGGTTATTCTCCCCCTCTATCTACATGGTAGTGGAGTGGCATGCAACAGAAGCCACATACATCGAATTGGCAATCAAAGCTTACCAGGCTACAAGAAAGTGTTTCACCTGGTGCAATCTAAAATCCTCAATTCCCTTGCTTTGATAAGCTGATCTCCTGCCGTTGATGTAAATGAAAGGTCTTAAAAATAAACTGTTTTTTTTTCCCCCCAGATCAGGTTATGACAATTTCCCAGCAATATTACAGTGTGCAACAATATGCTATAAGTAAGGAAAACTGAACAAGAGAGTGATGCAAAAATGACATTTTAAACATGTATGCATATGGCTGGGAACCCCCAAGCATCATCCTGCAATATATAAATGCAGGGTTTCTAAGGTTGAGGACTTCTTTTTTTTAAAAAAGTTTTCCTCTTTTGTTCCAATATCATTTGTATGCAAGCATTAGCTTAACAGCGGAAACTTAGTACACAACCAGACTCTCCCCAAAACACGTCTATAAAGTAACACTGAAGAAGGTTAAAAGTGACCCGATTTTTTTTATATTTGAAAAACTGGGACTAAAATTTACCCCCAGACACTGACCCTTTAATGTAACAAATCAATGGAAATGAGCCAATTTATAAAGTTATAGCTGAACCAAAAAAAACCCTCAAAACCCAAACCCAATAAAAACCCCAAAAAGCCAAAGACATTCCCACTCATGAGAGAGTAAAAGAATTGAAGAATGACTTCTGTTAAGAATTGATATGCTGATGCAAACAGGTTGGAGAGGAACAACACACCTGCTTTTCCCCTGGAACACATCGCACTGAGGCGACGGGGGCTATTTCCTCTCCACTCTCCCAGGGAGTTGGGGTGATGGTAGGAAAAGATGAGTACAAATGAACAAAACCACTAAATTCTGCTTCAGCATCCAATTATGTGTATAAAAAAAGTTGGTGTTGAAAAAGAGAGTAAAAATCAAGGCAAAGTTTTCTGGTAACAGGTTGCAGCTCTCTCCTCTGTACATCTTCCACCAGCGTTATTTCTGAATTACAGAGGGCGGGGAAGGGGGAGGAAGGACTCATCTCCTGCTACAGCTGCTTTCCCCATCACACAAAACTGATGTGTAACTAATTCAGCCACATGAATACGGGAAAGTTTCATTTATTAAAAAAAAAAAGTACTTCAAAATAAACCCGGTAAGTACTGTACGGTAATATCGAAGTATTTATATACATAGTTTTCTTTGTCTTTTGTTGAAATGTCTCATGGTCACTTGGTGGCACTTGGGGTCCCCTCTAGCGCCATCCGCCCTGCTCCCCCCTTCCCCTCCCCGGCTCTCACGGCTCAGTAGACGGAGCTGTTCCTTATGCCGCAGCACAGCACCATGCTCAGGATCATTTCGAAGATCTGTTGGGAGACACAGGGGCACCTGTGAGGCACCGACCAGAACAATGCAGAGCTCCCCCATGCCACTCTCATGCCAGAGATAAGGGCGGAGGCGCTATGTCTTCAATGCAGTTTTCATTAGCAGTTGGTCAATTGGAGATAAGACGATGTTCTCCCCTCTAGCTGGCAGCAGTGGTGGTTACTTTGCAAGCCTGGCAGCTATGCAGCAAATGATTCAAGACCCCCCCAAGCGTTACAGCCCAGCCTCTGCGCAGGCACTGGGTTACCAGCCCATGCCACCCACCGCTCACTGGGGAGCAATCCCACCATAGCAAAGAACACAAATCCCTTCTCATTGCAGACCCAAGTGACAAAGTATGGCAGCCTGAGAAACAAGGGGTTTTGGAGGCAGCGGGGAGGCTCGATGGTGGTTTGCCCTTCTGGATGGGGTTGCAGGTGCTCATCAGGAGCCTGCTCTAACATCCCAACCCTGCAGAGGGATGACGAAGCCCTCTGTCTCGCCACATCCCAGTGCAGCTGGCATGCAAAGGGCTGCCACTGCCTTTGAGCCCCAGGGTCATGTGGAGGAGAGGGATGGATCCAGCCCAGCTGGAACAGGAGCAGGGCACCCCAAGGTGGCTTTTCCCCATCTCACAACAACAGGGCAACACACAGTCACGCTTACCATGATCACGGCGACCACGATGGCAACGATACCGATAACGTACAGCTTCCCAGAGAACAGCTCATCAATTTTTTTGTGGCAGTTGACATTCTGAAGCAGAGAAGCATGCTGGTCAGAGACCTGCTCTCCCCTCACATGCCCCTGGCACCCAGAGAGGCAGGTCTGCTTCTCCCAGGCCCGCTTATGTTCCTGGGTCATGGCTGTAGGACTTCCCACCAGACTTCACCCCTCTGTGCCTGTCAGCCCCATCAAGCAGGAACGGCAAAGGAAGAACTGTCAGGAACCTCCAAGATCCCTCTACACCATCCCGAAACAAATCAGATTTCTACGCTTCAACCTAATTTCCAACAAAACCCCGAATTTCCCTGGCAGCTGAGTTTCCTCACACGAGCTGCACTGAGCAAACAGCAACCATGCCTACCTCCAAGGTTTTCAGGATGGAGTCCTTTCTTGAGCAGAGATCTTCTCTCCACAGGGGAGCGGTAGCTCCTATTACATTATCAGGACCACAGCAGTCCAGCTACATGGAGAGAAGGGAAAAATACCCCAAACAACCCAACAAAAAAACATCATTAGGAGACAGCAAATACTCATGCAGTGCTTTCCCCACCATTAAACATCCTTGAAGCCACCCAAGACTGAGGAAGTATCTTGGAGAGGAAAACAAAGGAGGAGGAATAATTCTCCAAATTTTTTCTTTCCATGCAATGCAGCTGCTTCCTACAGTAGTGGCAGACAGGCCTGGTGCTGGTATCCTGGAGGACAGTGAACCCAGCTCTCTCCAAAAAATGAGCAGAGGAAGTATTGGAAATAGGTCCTCAGAGCAGTATTTTTCTTCCATTTTATTTTACTTGAATCAGGGCTGCTGAGGTAAATGAGAAGCAACTTAATTAGAGCTTGGGCCAGACTTCCCAGCACAGTGTGAAGGGCAGAATATTGAAGAGGGCACAACTCTGCTTCTTGACATTTAAGAACAGCAAACTTGACAGGCTAAGCCCTGCATGTAGCACAATCTGCTTCAGACCCTGCTTTTCCCTTTTTCCTTTTCCTGACCCCTATTTTTAATTTTCCTTCCTCCCACATTCTCATTTCCTCTGGCTGCAAGAAACTCCTGTGGAGAGATTTCTACGTAGAGCTTGGTAAGCAGGCAGCAAAATCCCAACGCTAAGAACACACCTGATTCAGTTCCTAAGCACCGAAAAATTCAGTGTTGCCTTCATTCCCTCCCCGAGGACCTGTAGTTCAACTCACTGCCTCTGCCTCAGCGGGGAGGATCAGTCTGTGCGCAGCAACAGCCGCTGCTCACCACTGACAAACCACGTGCGGAAGTTAACTGGGTGTCACTCGCAGCATGCAAGATCCTACCCCTCAGCAGCTGCTTTGGCCAACTGCAGGCAGCCTGAGCAGAGCGTGCAGCAAGACCGCTGACATCTCACCGTTTCGTGGAAAGTCTTCACCACAGCTTTGCCGTTGTTCGTGTCCGACTCTGCCATGAGCGCCTGCTGAAACGCTTGATCGTAGAACTGCTTCACATCTTTGGCTATCTAGGAAAGACAGGAGAAAAACTCCCTTTCAGGAAGAGGAGAAGGAAACCCATCCAGTGGATGTGCCTGAAGGGGAAAGGTTCCCTGTAATGGCACACACAAGTAGAAGAGCAGTTTTTAAATAGATTTGGACCCCGTTTATTTGCACAGATGTGTGAAAACAGGCCTGTCTTTCACAGGGCTTAAGTCCCTCCAGCCGTAGGGTGTTAACAGCAGCAAATATTTAGAAGCTCATCCACCACCCATCAGGTTCCAGTCAGCGCTATCCAAGTGCTCCACAGCATTTTCTATCAGGCAAAGACAGACAAGGCCTGGAGGGTAAACCACAAGATCCGAGATAGCCTTTAGCCCACATGGATTTGCTGATGGGCTCAGAAACAGCTTGTTCTGAAGCACCTGACACACGGAGACAAAGCAAGCAGATAACACATCTCCCACTGAGACTGCAGAGACAGACAGGACACATTGGGGAAGGCAGGAGGAGGTGGGGCGTGCAAGCAAGGCCACGGTAGGTATGGGCACCTAGGCTTACTGTCTGGCAGGAATTTGGGGGGTATTGCACACTAAAGCCTTATTTGGGTGGCTCATTTGGGACAAGGAAGCTGAGGTGCTTTTAGATGGACATGAAACTGGCTGGGTCCCTACCTGGAGCTGGGCACCCCCATCCTGTAAATGGTTATATGAAGTCTCACCTGTACTGTAGCCCTGCCACGTGGGCTGGTAAACTGCAGCCACCCATGGAGGTCTGCTCCACAGTGCAAAACCCCCCACCATTTTCAGGGAAACTGGCCTTGTGGATTCTCTTCTAACACCCTCCAATAATTTGGGAGAGAGAGATGAAAAGAGGACATGCAAGAAAAGCAAAAGAAAAAAAATAGGAGCAAGTACGAAAGGGAAAATGCTTTCAAGAACATCTGCTCTTGGCAGTGCAGGCTGGATTAGCACATGAAAAAAGAAACTGCAGCAAGAAGGAGCACAATTTCAATCAATTATCCCAGCACTTCTTTGTCACTGCTCAAAAAAGTTTGCTTTGGAGGGCAATGTTCTCCAATCAAAGCATTTGATTCTGGTACATGAAAAATATAAAATAATAATTCTTGCCTCCCCATCCTGTATGTAAAGCATCTGTGGCAGAGCGATCCTGTGCCTGTGTGACAGGACATGACTGTCCCCCAAGGGGCTGCAAACCCAGGTGGATCAAAGTCCCTGCTGGGAGCAGCTCTCGGTGGCCAGGATCGTCCAGCGCTTCCCTCCAGCCCGTGTTGCTCCCCAGATGTCTCCGACCAAGGCGGGGAGAAGCAAGCCGCCTGCCTTGTGAGCAGGGACTTCTAACCAGCCCATTCATCACCCAGGCTGTGAAAGCAGCTGATGCCAGCAGACTGCCACTGTTCATTTTAAACTGCAAAATTAATTTTAGGAACTGAAGTCATCGCTCTTGTATTGGCAAATCCTAAATTTTTCAGCTTTATACTGTGATGGCCAAGCACCTTCTCCCCAGGATGGAAAGCAACGTATGCAGGGGGGTGTTGCCTCCTTACTCAGGCTCGCACATCTTGGACTCTTGAGGATTCACAAACTAACATCCCCAGGAAGCACAAGCCCTCTGCAAAGGTTAATTAGTTCACCAAAGCTGCTAGGAAACAGACCCTGCCTGCATAATAATATGTTTAGCCACGGAAGAGTTTATTCCGGTGAAGTCATGCACTCTCTGGTGAATGACTACAAGGGTGTTCCCACTCATGGCTGAGCTGGTCATCTGTGGCCTACATGCATATGAAAGCTGAGCAGGCCACCACCTCCTTACACATCTGGTTTACATCTCTTAGTAAACACATTTCCTGCTCTGCCAGAGTCTAACCTGTGTTCTGTGCAAAGCCTTGATGGCTGAGGGAGAAAGCCCACAACATAGCCACAGTTCCCATACACTGATTGTTTTGCTCTTCAAGACCAAACTCAGTATGTGTGAGCACATGAGACCATAGTGAAGAGCAGTGAAAGCTGCAGTTTCAGTCTTACCCTTTAGCTAGCCCCCTCTGGCCAGAAGACCTCACCTAAGCAGTCCCTAGGAGGGTGCCTGGGACAGGAACTTCTACCCCTCATGCATGCACAGCATACTGATCAGCAGCAAGCTCAGTCCTGGCAGATCAACTGCCAGAAGTAGGTTATGTGATACTGGCAAAGAGCAGGAAGCACCAAGCAACCCCGTTAACACAGATGCAGGCTGCCTCCATACAGTATTCCCTCCCTTCAGGGCCAAGTGGCTGGGTTTGCTCTTTGCTCTCTGGCACCTAGGATGTGCAGATGGCTTTCCTTCATGACTTCATACATGAATCAACTCACAATGTGACTGACAGTGTGGAGCAAGGAGGAGACCCAAGTGAGAAAGGGCTATTTTTATTCCAGACATTGCACTACATGCTGTAAGGGGCAGCTGCTACCATCAAGTGCTCACATTTAAAGTTCATCGTCCTGGCCAAGAGGAGTTAGGTGACCTGCCCAGGTCACACAGCTAATCTAAGTCCCTGTGACTCAGTCTGAGAGCAGCTCTTGAGCAAAACAGCTCGTGGTGGGATCTGCTGTGGTTCTGCCCCAGCCTCCCAGTCCCACACATGCAGGCTCTGGAGTTGCCTTACTTGGTCTTTGTTGACAAATCCCCAAATTCCAGCCGCAACTTCGCAGGCAAACAGGATCACCAGGCAAGTGAAGAACTGCAAAGACAAATCAAGAGAGGGACATTTAACATAACGGGCTACAGGCAAAAACAACAGTCAGGTGGGTAAAGGTGGGGAGTGGCACTTCTACTGACAGAGATGGGAGCAAGGTGTCGCCTGACTTCAAACCATTTTATCACTCACAAACATGTTTAGCCCAAACACATTTTGCTGTAACTCCCTGGATGCCACCCCATGTCCAGACTTCCCACTGGTATGGCTGAGTAGGGATTAGCAGAGCCCTTCCTGCACAGGGACTGGCATGGATGAGGATGCCCTATGCACTCTAAGACACGGCTCTCCTCTTCATGAACCTGCAGGACCATCCAGAAAAGCTTCTTGCTCTGCCACAGATGCTCGAAGGATGGGAATTGCCAGTGCAGGGTTAAAGGCAACATTTCAGCTGCTGAGGAGCTGTGGGGCATCAGGGTGTGATTTATGGTCAGCTCTCTTGGCAGCCACTACCCTGCAAGGCTACTGCAGTTTTTTGCATAAATACTAAGACTGATGTTCTCCCACAGTCCCACCCTGTTTGTGCAATTCCAACACTCCTCCCTGCCATTCCCCCAAAGCCTCCTGCCATCTTTTTGTTCAGATCTCAGGAACATGTTGTGATGGTCAGTCTGTTAGACTGGGAATGGGAAGCCATAAAGCTCATACATCAGAGTCAAGTGAGAAGGCACAGAGAGGCATGCTCTACACACAGCCAACATTACCTCCGTGATAACATCACCCCCAGTGACTTCTTCCCGGGAAAAGCCCCAAACTGGGAGAATTGCCATGGAAGTAAAGAGGCAAAAGAGGTGAATGCAGTTAGGGGACGACAAAATCACAGTATGGGGTGGGACAACAGCCCCCGACTCCTGGGCACTCTCTGTTCCACACACATTCAGTACATAGTCTTCAAAACCAGAGTAAATGGGAGTTTCCAGAATGATGCTATGACCTGGCTCTCATGTGCAAGAGCACAGGGTTATCAGCAAAATGGAAACATGACTATTGACCTGACAGCAGGAAAAAACTTCCAACATCCGTATCCAGTCCCCAAATAAACAACTCCTATTTAAATACCTGTATATGCCTGAATCTCCTGGACTATCTTTGGGGGACTGGATCCCACATGCCCCCCCAAGGAATCACATCACCCTAAATTGTGGGCACAATGCCACTGTAATTCTCCGGTTAAGCACTAGGGCTCACTCTTGTGAAGGATGCCTCCAGTAAAGGATGGCTCCTTTATCCCAGATCTGGAGGTACAATTTCCTGCAGAAGTTCTATAAGCCACCTGCAAAGCACCAGAGATGCAGCTCGCCACCATGTGAACACAGCGGTGCTCCTGGGCAAGCAGTCAGAAGTGCCCTCCATGCTGAGTGGCTCTCTCCTGCCTTCCTTGGGTCTTGCCGCTCAGCTTCCATGCCGCCTTCGGCACAGGATTTTAATAGCGTGAAATTTCTGATACCTTCCTCTTTCGCAGTAAGGCTACAGTCACTTCATAGCTGGCTGCAGAAGAGGGGAAGTGGCTGTTTCCCTGCAACACCCTGAGGATGCTGCCTGGAAATGTCCTTGGAGCATGGTGGGACCTTGGCCAGCGGAAAGCGTCACCATGAGGCGTCTCCAGCCTTCTCTTGGGAGGCCAAGGTGTGAGCAAACACAGGCAACCACACAGCAGCCAGAGCTGCTAATTTCAGCCAAAGCAGCCAGTTTCCCTGTCAGACCTCAGGTATGCTGTACCATCTGCCCTTCTAATCCTCTTTCCAACTTCAGGAGGGAGTGAGGGGTAATTCAGGTTCTGTAATCACTTGTGCTAACAAAAACAATAATCCAAAGCTGCCAGACCTCGCTACAACCACCCGTCGGATTTGTGCATGGGCTCCTCCTCAGCCCAGTGATAATGCCTGCAAACTCCTACAGCAGCTCTTGTCCACCAGTGTACAGAAGTGCTCTGTAAAAGCTGGGGAGAAGCACCCCCTTCTTATTGGGAAACAAGCAACCAGAGGTGAAGCCATCTGTGTGAGCAAGGGAAAGCAGCTCCATTTACCTCTGTCCCAGCTGTGTCTACACCCATGGGTCACTACACCACCACCAAGAATCTTCCAGCCCAACAAAGCCAAGCGCTGGAAAATCCTTCCAATTTGTTGTTGTTGTTGTTTGTAGGCTTTCTTTGTTTGTTTTACCTCTTATTCTTTTTTTTTTTAATTGAGTTTAAAGCTGAACTACATGTCAGAACTTGCTTTAAACAAACGGGTCTTGCTTACCTACCCCCAAGGCAAAGGCTTTTGGTGTGGCTACAGCTTATACAATTACGCTCATCCCATGCCAGGAATTCTGAGCTGCTGCCTCACATCAAGGACGCCTGCAGCACTTCAGTAATGGATTTTCCGGGACATCCTCACTAAGATATTGTGGGAAATCTTTGCTGTTTTCTCATCCAAACAGATAAAAATAGTGGATGACTCCTTAAAAGAACTGGAATTGCCAGAGGCAGCCTTAAAAGAGAGTGAAAGAAGCTGTAGCGGACAGCAGGTAAGAAAAACGGGGTGGGTGCTTGGTCGGACAGCCAGACTGTGTGAGGGGAATAAAAGCAAGGGGGACAGTTCACACATAACAGAGAAAATTAATCTCCTAGGATCCTGCTGTTTGCACCTCTTCTGCTACGCTGCTGGCTTCAGCCTCTGTCCTGAAGCCAGGCACAAGCAGGAGCTTGCAGCATGCCCGCCAGCTCAGCCGTAGCTCAGCGGGCCGGGCAGAGATGCCCTCAGCCAAGCAGTGCTGCCTTACTCCTTGCAGAGGTCAGCTAGTTCCACCTCTGCGCTCGTGCACCTCCCAGCCCTGTGTGCTGGAAAAGTCGCCAGCAAGGGAGGCATGGCCACGTACTGCCTGGCAGGACACCACGCTGCCAAGCAGCACCCAAAGCTTTGCACCTCTTACCGTTCCCAGAAGGCACTGAGACTCCTGAATAGCGCCGTAGCATCCCAGGAACCCCACAAACATCATCACAGCTCCAACCGCGATCAGGATGTAGATTCCTGCAAGGGAGAGAGCGAGGCGGATGCGTTATTGCACAGCTTTGTACACAGCAGCACTGCAGCTCCTGGATGGCCATTTTGGCCCCTGGGGCAGCCTAATTACATGTGTGCAGAATTAAAGCTCAGGAGATACAAGCAGAGGTGGCAGCAGACAAGTAGAACACCACCACATAACAAGAATCAGGTCTCTAACTGTCTGAGGCTGCTAACAACAAAACTTTAAAAACCCCATCATCCCATCAGGAAACAGAGAACTCAAGTAGTAACAGGCAGAGGGTGTAGCAGGCATGACAAAGGCTTTACAGTGTCCTCAAAGCTGTAGTATGTGAGTTCCCACAGCATATTGTTTTAAATATTTTAAGCAGAGGAGATGAAAATAGTTAGCATATCTTTAAAATAAACAACAAGGCATATGGTTTATTTCTATTAAACATGATACAGATTTATCCAGCTAACATTTATTTTAAAGAAAGACGAGCCACAAAACTAAGAGAAAAGCACTGCTTAAGCATCTCACTTAATATAATATGGCTTTTGTTATAAGTTCATCTACAGAGAAGATGACATATTTCACTTCAGCTTATTGAATTTGCACAGCCATCTTACTCCACAAGTACTTCAAAGCTTGCAAACAAGGCACTGGGTGGGGGAGCTCAAAAAACACAGGAATGAAAGTTTATTGACTCAGGAAACAAGAGCTCAGCTCAAGGCTCAGCTCTGCTGCCGCAAGTAATCACCATGGTCTCACCAACCATGAGACTGGTGAGGCTGTGGGGATTACTTGGCTAAGTGCTCCCAGCTCAGTTAAATTTGTTTGCTTTTTGGAAAACACAGCTTTCTGCTGGTGTAGCTCATATATTTCGCTCATTTTTTGGTTAATTAATATTCTCAAGTATTGCGGTTCCACTACTCTGTAAATGAAACCTACTTTCCATCCAAAAGCAATTTGACACATGCAAAAAATAAGTAATTACAAATGAGGCAAGACTGCAGTCACCATTTTTAACTGACAGTGAGGGGAAAAAATAGAAGTCATGATGAGAATAAACATACACAGGGCATCCAGAGGTAACAGCAACGCAGTGAATCTTGCTAATGCTTGGGAGACACGTCCCTTCAATGAAATGTTTTCTTCTGCTATGAGTCAAAATGTTTTCATAATTATTAATCAGTCTGTCAACTCCCCCTTAGGAACAGCACTAAAGTATAAACAGAGGTCAAGATTAAAACTGCCTGTACATGCCCTTCATGTTTAAGGTTTTTCTTATCTTTCTACCTTTTAAACAATCTCTGATAATTGAAGTGCAAAGTCTAAAGGGCATGCGCTGAGAGCAGAGTTAAGCCAAGTTAAACTCTTCTCTAAAATAACAGATACGTAACAACGGTCTTGACTTGTTTAAAATCCCCTTATGGATACGTCAAACTTGGGAAAGGGTGAATTTTGACTCCCACTTCTTCCCTCTTTAAAACAAAAGTCACCAGCACCCAAACAAAGCAATTGCCAATGCAAGCGGCTATGTGGTGAGAGGTGGTGATGGAACCACCGCTCTAGCAGCCCAGCTGGGACCCTCCGGATGGCCTTTCTCACCAGCACTGTGCTTGCACAATGCCTCCCGCTATATTTAGGTGCCACAGGAGGGAGGAAGCCAGCTGCAGGGGAAGCGCCGGCACAATGGAACGTGCTGACCCCGCAGGAAGCCCCTCCTCACAAAACCTGACAGCGTCTGTGGCTGGCGACACCAACATCCTCACGGCAACACTGCCAGCAGAAAGGCACCGACACGTACTCAAGGGGCTTCAGCAGTGGCCAGGAGCCACAAAAACCCAACAGGCAGTTGGGTTGTTAAAGGTCCCCAAGTGGGGATGAAACACCTCCTTACTTGAAAGTGTGAAGAGAAGGAAAACACAAGCAGAAGACACCTCCCAGGAGTTTCTTGTAAAGGACAGGCCAGCAGTTGAAGGTTTTTGGGCCTGCCTGAAGTAGAACTGGGTGATTTTATCCCAGTGGCTGGACACGATGTGAGGTGGAGCAGTGGTGGCAGCCTGGCAGAGAGCAGTGAGGTGAGCAGTGGGGCAGACGGGCCCCAAAGCGGCTGGGGGTGATGGGAAGACATGAACACATCCTGTGAAATGAAGGCTGGCTGCTGGACACCTGCTAAGCCCCAGAGAGAGGGACGGAGATTTTCGGATACTACATAAATGCTGTTTCAAGAACAACAACATATCAGTAGTGGGATCTGATAACGCCCAAGAACCAGCCCTCACCACTCCACATTGTACCAGGGATGCTGTTGGTCTGGGTTCTCAACCCAAACTTGCATCAAGTTTTTCCATCTTATAGCATTGGGTGGCTCCACTGGAGAGTCTTCATAACAAGTTGCTCTGGGAAAATCAACTTTTCTCATCCCTGAGTGCAGCAGCTTCTGATTTCTCCTCCTTTTAGGCCAACAGAGAGGAGACAAAGCTGGGCTGGGGCTATGTAACTTCAATGTCTGAGAAGTCACTACTTATGCTAACCACCCTTGTAGGTGGACAACAAGCAGATGTAGAACATCTGGAGACCATGCAGCACCAAGCTGCAGGGACCCCAGTGACCAGGTCACTCCCACGGAGAAGACTGTATTTTCAGATTCTGTAAAATAAACATCAAAGGAAGCTTCTAGGCTGAACAAATATAGCCAGGAGATCACAGTGTCATAGAGCTGCCCAGGTTGGAAGGGACCTTGAAAGATTACCTGGTCCAATGTTTTGTGAGAAAGGGAGCCTAAATGACACCGTCCAGCACCCTGACCAATTATATCCCAAAAACCTCCAGTGATGGACTCTACCATGGCCCTGCGGAGGTTGTTCCATCGAATGATTGTTCTCACTGTCAAAAATGTCTGTTTTACACAGAGAACATCAGGAAAATGCAGGAGCCACTGGTGGATAGAAAAGTTTTGCTCTGAAAAGTAGGAGACAAAAGCCCAGCGAGAACCTCAGCTGATTGAGGAGACTAAGAGGGAACAGAGACATTTGCCATTCTATAGAAGTCTTCCAGAGGCCTCTGTACTTGCTTCTTGCTGGGTTTTGTGCAGCTTCAATCAAACAAAACCAAACCTGACCGGCTGAACTCCCTCCCCAGGCAGACATCAGACAAGTGACATCCTGGCTTCCCCTTCCCCTCCCGGCTCATGCTTTGTCAACTCCTTGCCAGCGCCAGCGCTGCTGTCTAGCAAGCAAGTAAAGGAGGGAAGGGAAGAAGACGTGCACCACGTGCAGCTTCCTGAGCAGAACCCAGCGGATGCGACTGGTGGGGTGGGAGCAGCAGGAACGTGCAGCCAGGCGGGGGAGCGGGCAGTGATGACTGGCCTGAACTCAGAAAACCACAAAAAACCCTGGAAGACTTTTGGGATAAAGGCCAGCTTCATTCCCAGGCACAAACAAGTGGCCGTTATAGAGTCGCCTTTTGTTCCTGAGTACCACCAGAGCACTACAGCCTCCTGGGAGGCAATGGAGCAGGACTCTGCTCCAGAGTTTATTTAAAAACAAGCACAAAACATTTAATGCAACAATAGCATCTTGTACAATGAATGCTAGCGGTGTTTCTCCACAAAAATGCCACACTGAAGGCTGCAAAAGCAAACGAAGGCAACCAAAGCACCCAAGTACACACTTTGGATGGTGTTTGTTTTCCCACACCACTCCTTCCCCTCAGGGGATGGGGCAGGTGGGGGGGTCTCTGCCTCCAGACTGGGTGCCAGGCAGCTGGAGGGCTGCTCCATGGCCATCACAGCCCAGACGGGAACGACCAAGCCCTTTTCCCAGAAATAAGGCTGACACATCTTAGCTTTCATTCCTGGCAGACGGCAAGCATGACGGACAGCGCAGTTTTGGGCTCCACGGCTGTGAGCAAGGCACCTGTCATCCCCACCCTGAACGGCACATTATCCTCCTTAAAGTCAGAGCAGCCTCCCCCCAGCACAAGCCTCCCCACTATATAAGCGATCAGAGATGGATTAACTCCTGCTAGCCTGTCCTGGGTGAGAAACTCTTCACCAAAGCAGTATTCGCTCCTTCAGGGCTCCACCTGAACTGGCACAATTCTGCATGAGCAAGGCTCCATCTGCCTTTCACGTGCCACTTCCCAGCTCATTTGTACTGCAGCTTTCTCAGGGCTTTTCAAACAAGAAACGCTGTTTGCCGTAAACAAATAGAATCAGAGAGGTATAAAATGCAAACTGCAGTGCCTACAGTCATGCAGCTCCCTCCAAAAGCAGCAATAGGTAACCCTGGGAATAGCTGGATCTGCAGCAACAGGTACATTAAGCAACGGATTTATAGGTTCACAGCACCAACGTGCCTCCAAATTCTTGAGCAACACTCTAGTGTGATTTCTAGCTCTGCAGAATGTTTCTTCAATAGGGCAGCAGTAAGCAAGACTGCTAAAGCTGCCACTCACAACCAGCCACTCACCACAGCACACTGTGAGCCGCAGGACCTGCATGCTGGGGCTAGGGAAGTCACAGAAGGATTCGCACAGACAAGCGGGGACTGGAGTCCCCTTATCTCTTTTTGAGATAGAGCCTTAAAACAGAAAACTTTAGGAAAGAGGACCAACCAGTCTTTGCTTCACCTCCTCATGACAGAGAGACTCAGAGTCCTACCTGAATTCAAAGCAGTAGCACAGCAACCACCTCTTCACTCAAGAGCATCAGGTCACGATGCATCAGAATAAGCAGCAGCAATGGACCCAACATCATCCCCCCTTCCCTGATACAACCAATGCACGTGCTGCTTTGGGCTGCAAGGACTTCCTAAAGCTCTAGGCACGCAGAAAGCCCCCGAACATCAGGCCCAGGGAGCGACAATAACTGAGCACTTCTCTCTGGATGGGGCTAGGTGAAAAGAAAAAAAAAGCAGCCAAGAGGTCAGCTTAGCTCCCAGCTCACACAGATGATACCCCCATGGAAGGCTCTGGACCAGGTAGGAAGTGGGATGCTCAGTTCTGGAACAAGGGA